GTTCAGCATGGTTTCTTTGAGTTCCATCCATTTTCCTGCAAATTTCAAGATTCCATTTTTTTTTTTCTGCTGAGTAGTACTCCATTGTGTAAATGTACCACATTTTCTCTATCCATTCTTCGGTTGAGGGGCATCTAGGCTGCTTCCAGTTTCTGGCTATTACAAATAATGCTGCTGTGAACATGGTTGATACTGATACTGCAGCACTGAAAGCCCATTAAGTGTGGCCATTGGTGTGACTTGGGTCTCAGAACCTTTACTAAGGACATCAAAGGAATGAAGAAAGGGCAGGTATACATACACAAGCACAATGAAGCTGCCATCAGATGGGGCCCAGCTACTTCCACAATTTGGAACCTCAGCCTGTTTATTATGTGTGTCATGGGATGGGAAGGGTGTGGGGGTGGAGTTAGCTAATCCCTGGAGGAGGATTCTGTAGTCAAGCAGTCTTAGTCTGTAAACATCTGGGAGGTGGAAGCTGCAGTTGCTAATCTTGGCACACACTAAACTCACACCTGGGCTCCAGAAAGAACAGACTTTGCCATCCCTTTTGAATTTGGTTAATATGGGTAATGGCTTTGTCAATTGTCCCATGGTTCTGAGGCCGTAAGTATCTTCAAGATGCCGATGCCCATGTCAAAATACATATTCACTCAAGACTTCAGTCACTCAGGGACTCTTCTGTTCCCTATAATCAAGGGAAAACTGTATACCTATGGGCAAGAGAATGAAATCTCTGACCTGGGTGGAGACCTTATATTGCAGCTGGGCTGGTCAACCAGCTGGCCAAGGGACCACCACCATGTAGGAAGGTGGTTGGTGGTCTTAGGTACCTAGGATGGGAGACTCACCTTAAACCATGCTAAAGACATAGGCAGAATATTAATCCCTTTAATGAGACATTGTACTTTTCCTTGCCACAGCTCCCATCTCCAGCAAAGTTCCTATAAGTCTCTATGAGATTTGTTGGGTCTACTGACCTTTCTGAACCCTGCCCCCAGTCCTGACTCAGAAGGCACAACTTTTTCTTTTATCTCTTTTTCTGTCTGTTTTTGGATGCTGGCCAGAATCTGAGTCAGCTTTTTCCGTTACTTTGGGCTTTCTGATTCATTTTCTAAATACCCACCCCCGCCTTGTCATGTGGAGTGCCATGTACTTGATCTCTTTGCAGGCTTCACTCAAGCAGCAAAGCTTTCCCCCTCTTCTCTCTTCCATCATCATCCTGCAGGCAATTGCCAAGATGGACAGCTGGCTTCCCTAAGGGGCTTTTCTTTTAAACTGTAATAATATTGTCTTCAAGTTTCTGTGTGAGTGTGTTCTTGAATTCTTTTGTTACTGAGACGTAGAACCCTAAGAGGGGACTCTGATTTTTCTGGTATCATCTGGAGACCATGAAGGGACTCCCCAAAATTTCCAGGAGCAATGGAAGACACTGAGATGTTGTTCCTTTGATACCACAGGATTTATTTAATGCTAAAGAGAGTATGGTAGAGTCCAAAGGGAGAGGGAATTCAAACCACTGGGGGAGAAGCAAGAAGGAAGGGGAAAAAATGGGAGTGTATTACATCGTGAGGAACCCAGAGGATGTGGGGGATATAGAGGAAAGGTATCTTATGTGTTCTAGTTTGATATCTGATATGACATCAGCCTGGTATGGGGAACAGGATGTTTGTTTGACTTAAAAATTCAAGCACCAGTAGATTACTAGGTTCAGGGTTCAGGCACTCAACCAGGAATAGAGGCAGACCATGCATGAACACTAATTACTGCCTTACTCCCTCTGGCTCATGCTCAGTGTTCTTAGGCAACTAAGGTCCACCTGCCTAGGGATGCTACTACTCGCAGTGGGGTGGGACCTATTACCTAAATATCAATCAAGAAAATGCCCCAAGGCCAGTCTGGTGGAGGCAATGCTTGAGCTGAGCTTCAGATTACCCAGCTAGGTCAATGTGATAACCAAGAGCCATTAGCCATCACAATTGCTTTCATTGGATGGGAAAGGTCATGTGCCTTAGCCCTTTAAAGTCTGAAGTCTCTAAGCTCCCACTTGTCTGCCATTTTACTGGAATCTAGAAGCCTAGGGAGCTTGTGGTACAAACTCAGAAAGGCTGTTGTAAGAGGGATCCCAGTATCAACGAAGAGGAATGACTTCCCAGCTAGAGAGGTAGAGAGAACTGCTAGGCTCTGGGGATTTAGCATTTCTTTTCTGAGTTTGGGAAACAGGGGTATCTGTCACAGACTCTTAGACATGTTCCCAGTGGGGTGCTTGCTAGTATCTGTAAGACTGCAAGAAAATAAGCCTGGGTGTTGGTGGCACATACCTTTAATCCTACCACCGGAGAGGCAGAGGCAGGCCTAGAGCGAGTTCCAGAGCAGCCTTCAAAGTCATAGAGAAACCCCGTCTCAAAAAACAAAACAAAACAAAACTAAACCAACAAAAAAGACTGCAAGGAAATGTCTCCTGATTGGCCCTAGCTCAAACATACTATGTGTGTCTTTCTTTCTTCTTGAACACGACCCCCTTTTCTTGTAAACTCATACTTAAAAATCTATTTAAATTAATTTTTTTGTAAGAAACTTCAAATCTGCTTCACAGTCTTGTCCTGAAATCATCTTCTGGAGTAAAGCCAAGAATCTGTCCCTTGAAGGGGGCTAGCCATAGCCCAGGACAATTTTGGCCTTCAAACTGCAATACTCTATCTCTGTAATTAGAGTTCTAAACAGGCTGCAGAGTCTTCAAATGATGTGGCTCCTTCCCAGAACCTCAGTTCACAATCCCTTCCCCAAGCTCTCCCTTCTCCCTTTGTTGGCAAGATAGTTAGCTTTTAAGAGTCTGGATGTGGCCAGTTGGTGGTGGTGTACACATTTAATCCCAGCACTCAGGATCAGAGGCAGGTGGATCTCTGAGAGTTCAAAAAATTCTCTACAATTCAAGTTCCAGGACTGTTGTCATTTCCAGGGTGACCTTCCATCAGCATTTAGGCAAAATGCTCCAACATCCCAGGTCTTAGCGTCTCCAGGGGTGGACAGAGCATGGGCCCTCAACACTCAGGCAAAAATGTCTAGTCATCCCAGGGGCTTATGGGCATGCTCAGCATGGCCACATGAGTCATGCATATGCATGTGCTAAGTGACCTTTAAAAGCAGATATGCCCGACCCACTTTCTCTCTCACCACATTTCTTGTGCATACCTCCTCTCCCTATTCTTTACTAATAAAACTCTTAAGTGGGGTTTGTTGTGTATCTTGTGGTCTGTTCTCGAGCACGGTAAGTATCAAGGACAGCCAGAGCTGTTACACAGAGAAGCACTGTCTTGAAAAACAAAAACAAAACAAAGCGAGATTCAGCATATGTACCTTATTATAGAAATTAAAGTAACTGCCTCCAATAGGGATTCAGAGGTTGTCCAAGAGAGGGAACTTGTACCAGACAGAGCACAAGAATGGTGATTGATTGGCTAGATACTAGCAGATATTGGAAGTTACCAACACATAGGTTCTAGTTTCTGTGTCCCTGAGCAAGGAACTGAGCAGAGACACACAGTTGCACCCAAAGCAAGGCCTGTTTATTAATAGATAGCACATTTCCAAGGTAGGGGAGCTGGCTGAGGCAACTGTCCTGAGGGAAGCTCCACCTCAGCCTCTGGCATCCATATACCCAAAGAGTCTGGAATGTTCTGGTGGAAGTTCCATCTCAATGCCCCTCCCCCATCTCTATCTCTTCCCCAAAGCCTGTCCTATCCCAGAAAGCCCGCCAAACAGGTCTCCTCCCCCAGAGATGCGCAAGACCACTCCCACAGTATTTAAACTGTCCATCAGAAAACAGACACATGGTTTTCCAAGTCTCTTTCTATCTCCTCTCTGGGGGGCTGGAAAATCACCTGAGAGTGTTTTATCCATTAAACCTGTCCTTTTCCAGTTCGGTTTGATTTGGATTGCTGCATCAGCTGAAAGGCTTATTGGGTTGCAGAAACTTTTCAGGAACAAACACCACAGAAAGAATTTAGGCTTTTGTATCTCTCAGAGCAGGATTTTGGGGGTCATTTGCATAGTGCTGGGTACTCTGTGGCATCGTCTTCCTCATTAGCATCTAAATCTCCACCCAGCAGTGTATTTTAATATTACAATGAACCCCAGGTCACCTTGAGACCCTCCATAGTGCTTCTGTGTGTACTTGTGGATGGATTTAGCCAGGTATGGCTAAGAATATGGGACTAGTCTTTAACTTTGCCAGCTGTTTTTTTATATGCTAATTTGAAATCTTTGTGCAAGGCTCTCCCAGACCTCATTCTATGCCCTATTTTCCTCCTTCAGCCTATATTACAAGCTCTTGAGCAGTAAGTAGGAGAGTGCCAATTTTATTTTAGAGAAAAAGTTGATAAAGGGAGAAGAGTCAGCAAACTCACCTGGAAAATGAAACAAACCATGAAACTGGCTGAGGCTCAGCTAGCTCAGCTCAGCTTTTCTTTTCTCCAGCTCCTTGGGGCTCAGGATCATCATTTTATTTGAATTTTCCTCATGACCCCAGAGTTAAACCCTT